AATTCAAACATGAAAACCGACGGAAATGAGTCGGTAGCACATACTTAGACTATTCCACGTCTTTTTTCAGTATCGCCAACTTATCTTTTTTAAATATTGAACTTTGCTTTTTTTCTTTACTCTTCGAAATTTGTGAAGCTATCAGCCTAACAACCTGGCAGCCTAGCAGCCTGGCAGCCTAGCAGCCTAGCAGCCTGGCAGCCTGGCAGCCTTAAGAAAACTATGGATAATACAAACATGAAAACCGACGGAAATGAGTCGGTAGCACATACTTAGACTATTCCACGTCTTTTTTCAGTATCGCCAACTTAATTTTTTTAAATATTGAACTTTGCTTTTTTTTTTTATTTTACTCTTCGAAATTTGAGCAGCCTAGCAGCCTAGCAGCCTGGTAGCCTAAATAAAACTAAGAATAGTACAAACATGAAAACCGTCGGAAATACATTAGCAGCACTTCTTTAGATCATTCCACGCCTTTTCAATATCGTGATCTTTATTTTTTAAGATGTTGAACTTTATCGTAACATATTTTTTTCATTCTGACGCTTCGAAATTTGAAGTTAGCAGCCTAGCAGCCTGGCAGCCTAGCAGCCTAGCAGCCTAGCAGCCTAGCAGCCTAACAGCCTAAAGAAAAGTACGGATAATTCAAACATGAAAACCGACGGAAATGAGTCGGTAGCACATACTAAGACTATTCCACGTCTTTTTTCAGTATCGCCAACTTATCTTTTTTAAATATTGAACTTTGCTTTTTTTCTTTACTATTCGAAATTTGTGAAGCTATCAGCCTAACAGCCTGGCAGCCTAGCAGCCTGGCAGCCTAGCAGCCTGGCAGCCTAGCAGCCTGGCAGCCTAGCAGCCTAGCAGCCTTAAGAAAACTAAGAATAGTACAAACATGAAAACCGCCCCATTATTTTGATGTGTCGTACGGGTATTGTTCTTAAGTTCAGATAATCTTTATGTTCATTTTTGTGTTCGTTAAAACATATGCATTATATATCTCTTTACATTTCAACACATTTTTATCTTAACATACCTTAAATAAATATGCTTTAAACATCGTCAACTTCATTATAAACATATCCATACAAAATAGCATATCATAAATAACTCAGATGACGTCACTTATTGTCCATAGATAGCGACATTAGTAGCCGAGAAAAAGTTCCAAGACTTAGACTACTTCCTACGTTATTCGAAATCATGTTAAATCCCGCAAATTACAAAGCATCAGAATGAAAAAAAAATAAAGTTCAATATTTAAAAGAATGAAGATCGCGATACTGAAATAAAACGTGAAATGGTCTCAGTATGTTCTACCGATTCATTTCCGACGGTTTTCATGTTTGTATTATCCTTAGTTTCCTTTAGGATGTTAGGCTGCTAAGCTGTTAGGCTAACAGGCTGCTAGGCTGCCAGGCTGCCAGGCTGCTAGGCTGCAAGGCTACCAGGCTGATAGGCTGTCAGGCTGCTAGGCTGCCAGGCTGCTAGGCTGTTAGGCTGCTAGCTTCACAAATTTCGAAGAGTAAAAAAAAAGCAAAAAAAAACAACAAAGTTCAATATTTAAAAGAATTAAGTTCGCGATACTGAAAAAAGACGTGGAATAGTCTAAGTATGTGCTACCGACTCATTTCCGGCGGTTTTCATGTTTGTATTATCCTTAGTTTTCTTTAGGCTGCTAGGCTGCCAGGCTGCTAGGCTGCTAACTTCAAATTTCGAAGCGTCAGAATGAAAAAAATATGTTACGATAAAGTTCAACATCTTAAAAAATAAAGATCACGATATTGAAAAGGCGTGGAATGATCTAAAGAAGTGCTGCTAATGTATTTCCGACGGTTTTCATGTTTGTACTATTCTTAGTTTTATTTAGGCTACCAGGCTGCTAGGCTGCTAGGCTGCTCAAATTTCGAAGAGTAAAATAAAAAAAAAAGCAAAGTTCAATATTTAAAAAAATTAAGTTGGCGATACTGAAAAAAGACGTGGAATAGTCTAAGTATGTGCTACCGACTCATTTCCGTCGGTTTTCATGTTTGTATTATCCGTAGTTTTCTTTAGGCTGCCAGGCTGCTAGGCTGCCAGGCTGCTAGGCTGCCAGGCTGCTAGGCTGCCAGGTTGTTAGGCTGATAGCTTCACAAATTTCGAAGAGTAAAGAAAAAAAGCAAAGTTCAATATTTAAAAAAGATAAGTTGGCGATACTGAAAAAAGACGTGGAATAGTCTAAGTATGTGCTACCGACTCATTTCCGTCGGTTTTCATGTTTGAATTATCCGTACTTTTCTTTAGGCTGTTAGGCTGCCAGGCTGCCAGGCTGCTAGGCTGCCAGGCTGCTAGGCTGCTAACTTCAAATTTCGAAGCGTCAGAATGAAAAAAATATGTTACGATAAAGTTCAACATCTTAAAAAATAAAGATCACGATATTGAAAAAGGCGTGGAATGATCTAAAGAAGTGCTGCTAATGTATTTCCGACGGTTTTCATGTTTGTACTATTCTTAGTTTTATTTAGGGTGCCAGGCAGCCTAGGCTGCTAGGCTGCTCAAATTTCGAAGAGGAAAATTAAAAAAAAAAAAGCCAAAGTTCAATATTTAAAAAAATAAAGTTCGCGATACTGAAAAAAGACGTGGAATAGTCTAAGTATGTGCTACCGACTCATTTCCGTCGGTTTTCATGTTTGTATTATCCGTAGTTTTCTTTAGGCTGTTAGGCTGCCAGGCTGCTAGGCTGCCAGGCTGCTAGGCTGCTAGGCTGCTAACTTCAAATTTCGAAGCGTCAGAATGAAAAAAATATGTTACGATAAAGTTCAACATCTTAAAAAATAAAGATCACGATATTGAAAAAGGCGTGGAATGATCTAAAGAAGTGCTGCTAATGTATTTCCGACGGTTTTCATGTTTGTACTATTCTTAGTTTTATTTAGGCTGCCAGGCAGCCTAGGCTGCTAGGCTGCTCAAATTTCGAAGAGGAAATTAAAAAAAAAAGCAAAGTTCAATATTTAAAAAAGATAAGTTGGCGATACTGAAAAAAGACGTGGAATAGTCTAAGTATGTGCTACCGACTCATTTCCGTCGGTTTTCATGTTTGAATTATCCGTACTTTTCTTTAGGCTGTTAGGCTGCCAGGCTGCTAGGCTGCTAGGCTGCTAGGCTGCCAGGCTGCTAGGCTGCTAACTTCAAATTTCGAAGCGTCAGAATGAAAAAAATATGTTACGATAAAGTTCAACATCTTAAAAAATAAAGATCACGATATTGAAAAAGGCGTGGAATGATCTAAAGAAGTGCTGCTAATGTATTTCCGACGGTTTTCATGTTTGTACTATTCTTAGTTTTATTTAGGCTGCCAGGCAGCCTAGGCTGCTAGGCTGCTCAAATTTCGAAGAGGAAATTAAAAAAAAAGCAAAGTTCAATATTTAAAAAAATAAAGTTCGCGATACTGAAAAAAGACGTGGAATAGTCTAAGTATGTGCTACCGACTCATTTCCGTCGGTTTTCATGTTTGTATTATCCGTAGTTTTCTTTAGGCTGTTAGGCTGCCAGGCTGCTGCTAGGCTGCTAGGCTGCTAACTTCAAATTTCGAAGCGTCAGAATGAAAAAAATATGTTACGATAAAGTTCAACATCTTAAAAAATAAAGATCACGATATTGAAAAAGGCGTGGAATGATCTAAAGAAGTGCTACTAATGTATTTCAGACGGTTTTCATGTATGTACTATTCTTAGTTTTCTTTAGGCTGCTAGGCTGCTAGGCTGCCAGGCTGCTAGGCTGCTAGGCTGCCAACTTCAGGCTGCTAGGCTGCTAGGCTGCCAACTTCAGGCTGCTAGGCTGCTAGGCTGCTAGGCTGCCATCTTCACGAACATACAGTAGAGCCGCAGTCCATGTACTTTTTGAACAGCCCTCGTACATGTATTATATTTTAATCTCGAGAGGGATTGAAGGCCCCCCTAATCACCCCCAGCCCGTTGATACTATATAGGCTCGTTCAATAAATCAAGAACGGATATATACATAATCTAAAATGTACATGTCCTCAGTCATAATACATGTACTGTTAATTTAGAAAAAGGGCACTTACAATCATATGTCCTTGTTATAAATCAATATTAGATCTAAATTAATTGACAGACTAGCAGAAAAATATCACGATGTGCAACATGCTTCTTTCAGTTACAATAAAGAATGCTCATATTTTTAATTTAAAAAAAAACATTGAAGTAGAATACGGTCAAGTTACATAATTTCACACGCATACACTTGGTTTATAATCAATAACTATTAAATTTTCATAATATCCGGTTATATAATCAGTATTATGCCGACTTTATTACGTTCTAATCTAAAATAAGAATTTTACATACCCCACGAATTTTCCAGTACCCTAACTCAGGCATGGTTGTTCAACTGCTGCGTACACGTAAAATATATGTTCTAAATACATGTATAGCTGTACCCTGATTGGTCCAAAAAGTAGTCAACAGAACAATTTATAAAACCATATTCACTGGGGGTAGTATCTTATTTAATGGTTGAATTGGATTTCCCCAATCTAAAAATAGATCTAACAAGAGCTGTCACAGGAGACAGCGAAGCTTGACTAATAAAATACTGGACGCAGTAAGGAAGAAAAAACTATGAAAGAAAAATCAATTATGTATTATTATGTATTAAGTTATAGTAAAAAATTAACATTTTTTAACATAAATTAAATTCCAAGTTCAAGGGAGGGGGGATTCTGGAAATAGTCTGTGATGTCCTATAGACTAATGTTATAATGTATGTGAGACCACCATAGTATATATGTATGCTGTATGTAATATGATACCGGGACTTCCGGAAAAACATGGAACCTTAGTAAACACGATTAAACCAGAAACATAGTTGTTATCAATTAATATCCCCCATTAGGATTTATCATCTGGCGACGAGGATAAAAACAAACAAAACGGAATTACTTATATAATATTTGGATATATTTTTCATGTGTTAATTGATGGATTAAGACGTTAACCATGAACAATTTACCAGCATTTCCAAGTTTTGATCTTGAAACGGATAAATCCAATGCAGGCACGCGTTGGGAGAAATGGATTGGGCGCCTCGAAAATTTATTTGTGGGGATGAAAATATCAAACGCTGACCAGAGAAGAGCATTATTACTACATTACGCCGGAGAAAAAGTGTACGACATCTATGACGTAGAGAAAAAGGACAGCGCAGCGACTTACGACGCAACAAAAAAGGTACTTAGCGACTATTTTGCTCCCAGAAAGAACGTTCAAATTGAAATTTACAACTTTAGATCATACAAGCAATTAGAAGCACAAACGATTGATGAATATGTGACTGAGTTAAGAACTTTGGCAAAGAACTGTGCATTCGCAGACATTGACAATGAAATTTTACAACAAGTGATACAACATGGCCGCTCAAATCAACTCAGAAGAAGAGCGTTACGTGAACCAGATAAAAAACTCGATGACATTATTACAATGGGACGTATGTTTGAACAATCAGATATGCAAGCATCCGCAATGGAAAATTCAGAAAATTCTAGATCTGTACACAAGGTTTCAAAGTTCAATAGTAGAACACGAGGACGAGCGCCGATGCCTCATGGCCGTGGGAACAGTAGAGGGTCGTATGCAAATTTTGGAGGTCGTGGGAAATATGGTCCGAAGAACCAATCGAATCAACGAAGTAGACCACGTGATGGTGCGTCAGCCAATACTTGCAGAAAATGTGGTTATGAATTCCCGCACAGAGATAAGCCGTGCCCAGCCACAGGTAAAACCTGCAATGTATGCAAGAAACCTAATCATTTCGCGCGCTGCTGTTTAGCGCCGAAATATCAGCATGTCAAAGAGGTCAGCGATAACGCCAGCAGTTCGCTACAAATCGATTCGGAAGAGGAGTACCTCTATAACATCACAGTGAAAAATGTCGGTAAACAAAAAGGATCAAAAACGCCCAAAACACGGATAAAAGTCAACGATAAAACGATTACGGCTACAATAGACACAGGATCAAGTGTGAATATACTAGATGAAACCACGTATGATTACTTAGGAAAACCTAAAATAAAAACAAAAGGGCTGCCAAATTTACTTCCATACGGAGGGGGAAGTGCATTAAAAGTAAAGGGCTGTGTGAATTTAATGGTCGAAAAGAACAGAAAATACACAGTAACACCATTTTATATTGTGAAAGGAAACTATGGAGCTCTATTAGGGTGTGAAACATCATGTGAATTAGAAATAATAAAAATAAACCAAGGGATAACGGCCAATATGGAAGATAAATATCAAGGAATTTATGACGGTATTGGGAAGTTAAAAGGACAAAAAGTCAAATTACACATAAACCGTGATGTAAAACCTGTAGCGCAGAGAAATCGACGTACGCCATTTCATTTAAGAAAGAAAGTTCAAAAGGAAATTGAAAAGCTACTTGAAAATGACATCATAGAAGAAGTTAAAAATGAATCAACACCATGGGTGTCACCGATTGTCACCCCACCGAAGAAAAATGGAGATGTAAGATTATGCATAGACATGAGAGAGGCAAACAAAGCTATTGAAAGAGAACGGCATCCAATGCCAACAATAGATGAACTTATACACGACATGAACGGTGCAAAAGTGTTCAGCAAACTAGATTTAAAAGCTGGATATAATCAGCTGGAATTAGATAAAGTATCGAGATCAATCACTACATTCTCTACACACATGGGCTTATACAGATATAAACGTTTGAATTTCGGTACTAACTCTGCAAGTGAAGTGTTTCAGAAAACAATCAGTTCCATCATTCAAGACATAGCTGGTGCCAAGAATATTTCGGATGATATAATAGTGTATGGAAACAGTCAAAAAGATCACGACAAGGCACTTGATCAAGTTCTTCATGCATTGCATCGTAACGGGCTGACATTAAATAGAGAAAAATGTGAATTTAACAAGCTTGAAATCACATTCTTTGGAGTTGTATTCAGAGGAGACGGCATTTCACCAGATCCAGTGAAGGTTCGAGCAGTGAGAGACATGCAACAGCCCACAAACGTATCTGAATTGAGGAGTTTTCTCGGAATGACATCGTATTGCTCGAGATTTATAAAGGATTATGCAACAATTACGGAACCATTGAGGCGTTTAACAAAAAAGGACACACCCTGGTCATGGGAAAATGATCAGCAAGTCGCGTTCGAGAAACTGAAAAGAGAATTAAGTAGTGATACGGTTATCACATACTTTAGTCCATTAAAAGAAATTGAGCTAATAGTAGATGCTTCACCAGTCGGTATATCTGGGATACTCACACAGGAAGGAAAAATTATCGCGTACGCGTCTCGTGCACTGACACAGACAGAATCACGTTACTCACAAACAGAAAGAGAGGCTCTGGCAGTAGTATGGTCGTGTGAGCACTATTCGATGTACTTAAGAGGTGCTCCAACTTTCACGTGCTTCACAGATCACATGCCACTGACGAAAATATGGCAGAAGAAACAGCCACCACTACGAATTGAACGATGGGGATTACGTCTACAACCATTTAATGTAAAAATTGAATACAGGCCTGGAAAGGATAACCCGTCTGATTACATGTCTCGTCATCCGTTGAAATGTGACGAGCAGAGAAATATAGCCGAGGAATATGTAGCATTCGTTTCCGCACAGGCAGTGCCGAATGCAATGACACTAGATGAAGTAAAATTAGAATCAGTCAAAGATAAAACTATACAGAAAGCGATTGAATACGCAAAGAATGGAAAATGGCATGAAATGAAAACAGTGACAGATTTTAAAATCGTCATGGAAGAGCTGGTGGTACTCAGAAGCGTAAAAGATGAATTGACGGTTCACAATGACACGGTCTTATTAAGAAATGACAAATTAGTGATACCGAAAACACTCCGAAATCGTGCGATAAAACTGGGACATGAAGGGCACCAGGGAATTGTTAAAGCTAAAAGCTATATACGATCAAAGGTATGGTTTCCGAACATGAATGCAGAAATTGAAACAGCAATACAAAAATGTCTAGCCTGTCAAGCCAACTCAAGGGAACCAAGACCGCGAGAACCACTGAAAATGTCAGATTTGCCATCTGGACCTTGGAAAAATATAAGTGCAGATTTTTGTGGACCTCTAGAAAACGGTGATTACCTATTGGTTGCAGTAGATGAGTACTCGCGATATCCAATAGTGGAAATAGTAAAGAGTGTTTCAGCAAATATGGTCATACCGGTTATGGACAAAATAATTTCAATGTTTGGTGTCCCCAAAGTGATTAAAACAGATAATGGATCGCCATTTAATAGTACGGCATTTGCGGACTTTGCAAAATTTTACGGTTTTATACACAGAAAAATCACGCCTAGGTGGCCAAGGGCTAATGCTCAGGCAGAAGCATTCAACAAACCGTTGATGCAGAGTGTTAAATCGGCATTCATGGAGAGAAGGAATTTCAAACAAAAACTGTTCAGATTTCTCCGCCAGTACGGAGCTACACCGCACTTGTCAACTGGGTTTACGCCATTTCGGTTAATGTTCGGAAGGGAACCGGTAACGCGTATGCCAGACTTTAATCAACACCAAAATGAGGACACGCGTGCAGACGAGACAGCACGAAGAAATGATGAGTTATCAAATTCGAAATCAAAACAATACGAGGACCAGCGAATGAACGCACGAGAACGAAACATTAACGTCTGAGACAGAGTTTTACTTAGAAACGAAACACCAAGAAAGTCAAATACAATGTATAATCCAGTCCCATATAAAGTTATAAACAAAAAGGGACCAATGATAAGTGTTCGAAATGATGAAGGACATTGTGTCACCAGGAACTCATCTGTTATGAAAACAGTAGATCCAGACTTAATGGGGAATACGCCTAAAAAGCACGGGGAAAGCGATATTGAGGACTATCAGGGGGAGGAACTCGCTGAAAAACAAAACACGAGTTATGCGGCAAGGCCAGCACGAGATAGTCGTCCGCCCGCATATTTAAAAGATTTTGTAAGTTAGATTATTGGTTCCACAGTGAAAATGGGCATAATAAACCCAGTGGAACAAGCAGGTCACGCGATCTGCCATGCGAGTTTAATAAGTGATTAGATTCCCAATAGAAAAATTAATACGTAATAGCGCAATAGTAACATGACACCTTATATACGGCAACATGATTTAAATGACAATTTTTAAAGTACATTGAAGTTCTAATATAGTGTGGACATTAACAATGCATTTAACAACAAATATTTAAGAGAAAAATAAACAAATTATCAGATTTAGAACAAAATAAATATTCATGTTTGTATAGTGTAAATGTTCGATATTGCTCATGTAGTGGATATATTTAGATACTGCAGACTATAGTAAAACTGACATAGAACTGACCTACAAACGATTGGAATGTGTCAACAGCCATGAGTGAACATTTCTAGAGAAAAAAAGTTAGGATGAATTTTACAGTTAGATTCATTATATGTATTCCATCGTAATCAAATAATTGTAGAATAGTTTATCATGTTTAGTAATATCAGTTTACATAACTATAATATAATATTTTCATAATTCATATCGTAATGATTTAAGCATTTTGATTGTTCAATTTAAAACTGATGTTTTATATCTAACTTGAGGAGGGATGTGATGTCCTATAGACTAATGTTATAATGTATGTGAGACCACCATAGTATATATGTATGCTGTATGTAATATGATACCGGGACTTCCGGAAAAACATGGAACCTTAGTAAACACGATTAAACCAGAAACATAGTTGTTATCAATTAATATCCACCATTAGGACTTATCATAGTCATGCTAGAGTTATGAACATTGTCACACAACATGTTTGTAATGATATTGCCGAAAATTTGATTAGCATAACACGTCTTTTCGCAGATGACAGCTCATTGGCCGTTTCATCCAATGACATGCGTTACATAGAATCTACTTTAAATCACGATCTCGAAATAATCGATGAATGGTCCAAACAATGGCTTGTAAGTTTAAATCCCAATAAAACGGAGGTTATGTTTTTTCATTAACTACATCCGACAAGCCTACTCTCCTTTTTAATGATAATGTTCTTGATTTTGTAGATCATCACAAACATTTAGGTATAACTTTTTCAACAGATTTAAAATGGCATCAGCATATTGGTAACATTATTACATCAGCCTCTAAAGTTTTGAGTACCATGCGTGCACTAAAGTTTAAACTGAAACGCTCAACTCTAAATAAAATCTACATTTCATACATGCGTCCAATATTAGAATATGCCTCCGTTGTGTGGGACGGATGTACAGTATACGAAAAACAATCACTTGAACAACTACAGTATGATGCAGCACGCATAGTAACAGGTCTTACCAGGTCGGTATCGATCAATTCGCTTATTAAAGAAGTTGGGTGGGTTTCCCTCTCAAATAGGCGTAAAATACAAAAATTAGTTACGGTTTTTAAAGATAAAAATTCAGATAGGCGTAAAATACAACAAGAGGGCCATGGTGGCCCTGAGGTCGCTCACCTGTATATAGGCCCCCCCCCCAACAAAGCAGGGCCAATTTAACCCAGGGGCTTTTATTTGAACAAACTTGGTAGACACCCATAAGAAAATGTTTCATGCTAAACATCTAAGCTCTAGCTCATTGGGCTTTTTAAAAGAAGATTTTTTTAAAGTTTTTACTATACACATATAGTGAAAAACAATGACACCCCTGGGGCGGGGCCAGTTTTGACCCCAGGGCTTTTATTTGAACAAACTTTGTATACACTAACTAGAAGATGTTTCATGCTTAATATCTAAACTCTAGCTATTTGGGTTTTTTCAAAGAAGATTTTAAGTTTTTGCTATACACATAAAATAAAATCAATGACCCCGGGGCAGGGCCAATTTTGACCCCAGGTCTTTTATTTGAACAAACTTTGTAGACACTCACTAAAAGATGTTTCATGCTTAATATCTTAACTCTAGCTATTTGGCTTTTTTCAAAGAAGATTTTTAAAGTTTTTGCTATACACATATAAGGAAAATCAATGACCCCCGGGGCGGTGCCAATTTTGACCCCAGGGCTTTTATTTAAACAAACTTGGTAGACACCTATTAGAACATGTTTGATGCTAAATATCTTAGCCATAGCTCTATGAGTTCTTTAAAAGAAGATTTTTAAGTTTTTACTATATGCTTATAGGGAAAATCAATGACCCCCCGGGGCGGGGCCAATTTTGACCCCGGGCTTTTATTTGAACAAACTTGGTAGACACTTATTAGAACATGTTTCATGCTAAATATCTTAGCTCTAACTCTTTTAGTTCTTTAAAAGAAGATTTTTTATATTTTTACTATATGCATATAGGGAAAATCAATGACCCCCGGGGCGGGGCCAATTTTGACCCCAGTGCTTTTATTTGAACAAACTTGGTAGACACCTATTTGAACATGTTTGATGCTCAATATCTTAGCCATAGCTCTTTGTGTTCTTTAAAAGAAGATTTTTTAAGTTTTAACTATATGCATATAGGGAAAATCAATGACCCCCCGGGGCGGGGCCAATTTTGACCCCGGGGCTTTTATTTGAACAAACTTGGTAGACACCCATTAGAACATGTTTCATGCTAAATATCTTAGCTCTAGCTCTTAGGGTTCTTTAAAAAAAGATTTTTTAAGTTTTTACTATATGCATATAGGAAAAATCAATGACCCCCGGGGCGGGGCCAATTTTGACCGCAGGGCTTTTATTTGAACAAATTTGTTAGACACCTATTAGAACATGTTTGATGCTCAATATCTTAGCCATAGCTCTTTGAGTTCTTTAAAAGAAGATTTTTTAAGTTTTTACTATATGCATATAGGGAAAATCAATGACCCCCGGGGCGGGGCCAATTTTAACCCCATGGCTTTTATTTGAACAAACTTGTTAGACACCCATTAGAACATGTTTCATGCTAAATATCTTAGCTCTAACTCTTTGGGTTCTTTAAAAGAAATGTTTTTAAGTTTTTACTATATGCATATAGAGAAAATCAATGACCCCCCGGGGCGGGGCCAATTTTGACCCCAGGGCTTTTATTTGAACAAACTTGGTAGACACTCACTAGAAGATGTTTCATACCAAATATCTAAGCTCTAGCTCTTATGTTTTTTTTAAAGAAGATATTTAAAGTTTTTTTCTTTCGGTTGCCATGGCAACCAGAGTTCTGCATGGAATTAAATTCTTTGAACAATTTTTAAAGGTGACCACCAAAGGAACATTCCTGTGAAGTTTGGATGAAATTGGCTCTGTGGTTTATGAGGAGATGTCATTTAAAGTAAAAGTTTACGGACGGACGACGGACGGACGACGGACGGAGGGACGGATGCCGGACGAAAAGCGATCACAAAAGCTCACCCTGTCACTTTGTGACAGGTGAGCTAAAAATTAGTTACGGTTTTTAAAGATAAAATGGTCTTCTTCCACAATACCTTGAAAACATATTTCCATCGCTAGTTTCAGAAACAACAAATTACTCGTTAATAATATGCTGCCCTCACACATAAACCACGACCTTACTGCGACCTGAAAACTAGTAAAATAGCATTTTTCTTTTGAAAATCGTTGGTTTTCTTTCAAATTTCCCTCGCAGAAAATTTCTCTCGCAGACGGTCCGGGGCTCTGCAGTCTTGTGTTCAGTACGTTTTCTCTATGTCCTCAATACGACCCTTCTACGTCCATGGCGTTTCCACTGCGACTGTATTGCGTCCCCAAGGCGACCCCACGGCGATCATCGGCGACCCAGCTGCGACTGTGCTATGTTCTCTGCGTCCTTACGGCGACTCTACGACGACTATTGCGTTTGTTTGGCGACTGTCCTGCGACTGTACGACGACCCTACTACGTTCTTGCGACCTAACCAGGATTCAGCAAGAACGCAGAGTTTCTGCGACTGTTTTGTGCATGTTCAAAATAGTCGCCGACGGTCTGCGACCTTGTGCGTCCTTGGGTTCCTCGCTACGACCTCGCTGCGTCCCTGCTGCGTTCATGGCGACTGTGCTGCGTCCTGGGTCGTAGCAAGGTCGCCGTAAGGACGCAGTAAGGTCGCGAGGTATGTGTGAGGGCAGTATAAACAACAACAATTACATAACCATAGCTAGGCGCACCGAAACGTACAACAAATCATTTATACCTTCTGCTACTGAATTATGGAATGCATTAGACACCGAAATTAGCGAAATTAATTCTTTGAATATTTTTAAATCTATAACGAAAGAAAAGTTTAAAGCCCCCGTAGTACCTAAACACTTTTTGTTTGGTATAAGATATTTGTCAGTTTTACATGCTCGTTTAAGGAACAATTGTAGCAACTTACACGCTGACCTTTTCAAAAATCACTTGAGAGAAAGTCCGACTTGTATATGTGGGAACCTTTGTGAGGATGCCGAGAACTATCTATTTTGCTGTCCATTATTTAAACCTCTGAGACTTATACTCTTCGCAGAATTGTTCATCCTCTTAATGTTGAGCTATTACTGTGGGGTAGCAATTCTTTAGATGTTAACAATAATGAACAAATATTTGCGGCTGTCCAAAAATTTATCAAAATTACTGACCGTTTTCGAATTTTGTAAATCGGCCGATTGTATTAATCTTAATAACCTTATGATTGACGTTTACTCCCAATGACGAATAATGCTAAATGCTGGATCCTTAACATTGTCGTTATTA